GAAGCTTGCCATAACCCATTCTCTGATACTGTGGTAGAGTTAAAATGCAGGCCACATTATAATCCTCTGATGATTCTTTCTCCTGTAAAAATCACACAACATTTACCGCAAGGTCTGTACAATAAAGTGTTGAACCTTTGATTATGTACTAAATGATTTCTTATGATATTCTCTCCTGTGCTTTCAACATGACAACACTGCTGCAATTCATAAAGGTGATTTAACAGTTCAATCTGCCCGCCTACAAAACTTTTTTCTTACAACATGATACCCTAGAATCAAGCTTAAACTGTTTTAGTAGAGCCTGAATTGTGATAAAAATTTTAAACTTCACAAACTCACAGTTTAATGTCTGTGGATTTAATGTCAAATTCTCTCCCTTTCAACTTTGCAAGCAAACTAATGCCAATTTTTGAATGGAAAAATCTTTATCTGGTGGAAAGCACAATACGTTTTGTTAATGCTTATGATTCCACTGGAGAGAAATTTATACATTGAACAGAGTTGTCTGCCCTTCAAACAACTTAGCCCAGACATTTGTAATGCACTAAGAAGGGCTTCTTTCATTTTTTCAAGCACACCTTCAATTTAACCAAGCACAAACAAGTGTCTGTAAAGGATATCTTTAATTTTTGCCCAAAAAAATACACCAAAAATCCTTACCTTAGAAAAATATCCCACTATGTGAAAACCAATTGAGTCATATTCAGTCATTACATAGAACAGGAAAGGATCAGTGTCATAGTACAATGTTTTGTGATCCAGGAACATCTTAGCCAGGAGACACAAATTTTGGGCATACATCTACAACAAAAACAAACAAAAAAAATTTCCCATGAAAACCCCTTGGTGTTAAACTAATTCACCTGCCCAGCATAACAGCTGATTATTTGGAATGCTTCTAACTTTCAATTGACCTTAAGTCAAACACCGATCAGTAATGACCCCACCTACTTTGTTGGCATCCCCTTCCTACCCCCTTTTGCCACAGTCACAAAGGCACAGCATGGTATTGAGAGGTAGGATGTAACTGTGGACTCCATGTCAAGAGGTCCAGGTTTGAGACCTCCCTGGGTCAACATGCAAAGTATTCTTGGGCAAAACACTTTAATTGAAGAGTGCCTCTCCAACCAAGTTGCATGAATGAGCAGGGGCAAATTGTCAGAGAAGCCCAATTAAATGTTACAGGGTAACCTTGCAATGGCCAAGCATTCCATTTCTGGAAGGGGGTGGGGTGGGGGAGTAGTGACACCTCTAGTAGCTTCATGCTAAGGATACCATAATACACTCTGGCTGAGTGGGCTACTTAGCTCAAGCACAGACTTAACGCACTTTAAATTGCAGAGGTTTACAGTTGATTTATATTTTCTATATGCCCACATCTTAGGTGGTTGAAGAAGCTGATGATACCCTTTAGCCTTATTCATTACACTTAGTGCATTCCAGCCATAGAATACTGCTGCCCCCAAACATGAGAAAATGTGAGTTAGAAAAGGAGATTTCCCTTTTCACTGTTAAATGCCAAAGTTGTGTGCCCAGAGAGAGGGAGAGAAACATGACACATACCTTGTTCTTTCTTCCATCAATCTCAAAGAAGGATACTGATCCTTTTCTATAAATTTCATTTCCTGGAGGGTGACGCAACTTACACTTTTCCTGCAAGTTAAGGGCAAGTGACCATCAAAATAAAGTTGCAATGCACTTTTACGCATATCACATGATCCTAGTAAACCTCACACCCACTCCACATCACTGGAACAGTAATGAAAAGGGAAGGAATGATGAAGTCAGAATTGTTATTAATAATTGTTATCACTTTTATCATTTGATCATTATCAATGCTATAATTATCATTATCATCAGGGTAACCCTAATCAATAAATTTGAATTCTCAAATGTACTCTGAAGATTTTTATTACAAATTGTTTAGCAAAGCCTTTAGAAAGAAAAGGCTTACAATGTGATAAATAATAAATGCACTTAATAGAAACTCTTCACTGCAAACATAATCTTCACCCTTTCATACCTTGTGTCTTTTTAGACAATGGAAGCTCTTGATGTACTTCAGGCAAAATTCGCATAGGTAAACTACAGGTTCCAAGGTAAGTTCTTGTGGGTAAGGTGAGAAATACCAAGGCTTAATTCGAAATTTACCCAGTTGAACCATTTTGATATTCTTCATCCTTGTTACAATATCATCATGGCTACGATCTTGAACCATACTTCCTGTCTGCCGCATACTTCCTGTCTTAGGTGGGGTGCTTGGCAAGTCCTTTGGACTATCCTGTGAATCAATCTTTGGGAGAAAAAGAGAGAGTTTCATAATGTAGCAATTAAGAAACAGAGAAAAGTTCACCAGGATTAAATTGGTTTGGAATATATTGACTGTGCTCTGAGATTGTTCTTGAAAACTCCTGCAAGGTGACTTAAAAATCAATCACCACTTGGTCACCTTGTTCTTTCCCATTCCTGAAATCTACTTATCATAAATGCTTTTTTCCCTTCCCCTTTTTCTTTTTATAACTTATTTACAAGGAAATGTGAAGCAGCTAGAGGGGAGAATTAACAACCAGATCTTGGGGGTTAAAGGTTTAATTTTTCATGGGCTGCTACTAAAGTTCACTTTCAAGGTTTGATCTGATTAACCGATATGATGGATTTGGTTCAGCTTTCACATCAGTAAATTAAGAATGAATTTGCTCAGTAAAATGGGAGTGTCCATGTGTCACCAAAACCAGTGTTGGCTAACTCCTGCACCCTGATTTAGGTTATAACATCAACTATCATCTAAATATAATCTCATTAATTTAACTGTAGCAATTTCTGCCGCAGTGAAAAGCAAGATTTATATATCTACAGAGCTCCCTAGTATTCAGCAGGAGTTAACCCTTCCACTCTCAATATCTCATTAGTAATTCTCCTTACTGTCAGCCATACAATTCTTAAGATGTAAGTTCATAGATTTTGGTATTGGATCAACTAAGAATCCCCTAACTAAGATTTGTCTTTATTCTCATCACTTGTCTGCTTGATATAGGAGTTAAGTGGTTTATGAGGAGAATAGAATGTAAGCTTTATTCTCCATATTCTGTAGTGTTTTACCTCATCACTCGACTTGTCCATGGCATTAGCTTTCCTTTTACGCCCCACAGGTGCTTTAGGTCGGCCAGACCCCACACCATTCACCAGTTCCCTGTCAGGTGAACAAGGCCTGGAACCAGCTCCTTTATTAATCTTCTTGGTGTCCTCTTTCTTTGGCATTTGAAGCCTGTTCAGATCCAGTCTCTCTTCTTCAACCCATTCATCAAGCCTTTTATTGACTAAAACACACACAAAAGAATTAGTAAAACAAGAGACTCTTGTCTACTGAAAGCTTAGGCTCTCCTGAGCAGGACTTAATTTTGCAGTTGAAGTGTCAATGTCATAGTAGTCCTCATCCTCATTAATGTAAATTCATACTTCAGTGAAAACAAAAAATGTGATCCTTGAACTAAATTATCAAAGAAAATCCCTTTATAACTTTGATTAACATTCTACTTCAAGTTTGAATAAGAAAACTTTAATTTCAAGGACCTTGTCCAAGCTCTCTCAACTACCTCAAGTAATGTGGTCTCTCTTAATACACCAAGCGGACCTATCTTTAGGGAAGCAAGAGTTCATGGGATTGAAAATCCTCTATCCGCCATCTTGAATTTTCGAAGATAAGAAATTTCAAACTTATTTAGATTTACACTGCCAGTTCTTTACAAAAATAAACAAAAAACAAGTTCGATGATACAATTTAATGAGAAACAACGAGTTTAAGTCCTTCCTGGGTCGAACAAAAAAATTCAGAAGTCCTTCTCACTGTAGAAGCAAAGAGCCCGCGAAATAATACTACACCTTTTTTTAACAATACACAAATTATTTCGTACTCACAGTCGATATAATGCACATAATAGTGAGTGGAACCATTTGGCATTTCTCTCTTGCTTAGTATTTCAGCCAAAGCTACGGAAAAAAAGATAGTTTGTGGGCATAAGAACAATAACTTACGGCCCTACTTACACATGCGTTCCACGTCTAAAAGAAAATTACTTACGCCATTCGTCAGAACCACTCATTTTTACCGGCATTCTACAGCCTTCTAGCACCTCCATCTACAAGAAATAACAATTTTTAAGATCACGTGAATATCTTTGAGAGATTGATCGCTATATACATGTAAAATTATTAATCTTTCTGTACCGAACTTTCACCGTTTGCCTCCGCCATCTTTGATTCCTATCTTGTCGCCATTATAGTACGACGATGTCTTATAACGAACTTTTCCGTTGAATCATCGAAAGAACGGATATGGCCGATCTTATATCGACTGATCTCTCAACCGCTAAGCTAGGCTCAGGCTTCCACGGTCACTGTTATGTCACCAAATCTTGATGTTGCGATCCTGTTTCAAGTTATGATGAAATAGGCATTCGTTTTTGGAAATAAATTTAGAATAGCTCTTCAAAATTTCATTGATGAGGCTGCGGTTTCTAGAAAACCGAAAAATTCTTACAGCGGGTTGTGGACGTGACAATATCGTTTGATTTACTAATTACATGGTGAATAGCTTCCAATTCACTAACAAATTTTTCTTTTTTAAATATCGATGATATCTGCTCTGGGAATCCAGAACAATCTCTTTAAGATGCGCCTCAACACGTCTCCAGCCTGTCTTTGAGTAGCGTGACACAAGTCCCGCTTTAAGTTACTCGGGGCAAAAGTTGAAAAGATGATTTGGTTTAAATTTGAAACTACTTCCTTCAAGAAATAATTTAGTTGAACTAAAAATAAAATTTCCTGCTGTCTACCCAACTGGAAAAAGGACATAATTGAAAAGATTTTTGTTAATTAAAATGTACATAAATTTATTTCGGAAAGTGCAAGTTCGAACTTGCGACCTTATGCTAAACGGAAGTGACATCATACGCTAATTTTGTTGACTTACTACGCGCTACAATTAACACAGCGACAGCTATTTAAGACATAAAACTGCTCTGTCATACAGAATCAATTGCACATGACTTTCAATCATGTGCAAAACGGGGCCTTTTATCATCCCCAACTGGTACTAAAATATCCCACGCCTGTAAAGCAGTGAATTAAGTAAAATACACGGGAAAAAAAACTATCATCGATGATGTCTTTTGGCGCCGAAGCTGACCTACACAGGAAGAGACGGAGAATATGCGAGGTCAAAGTGATTAGTCTCAGAGAACTTTGCAGGGCTGTGATTATAAAAAACACAGGATTGCGACGACTTCGAAAAGCGCGTAAAAAACTGCCTCTGCCGCAACATTTAATTGACTTTTTAACATCGGATTTCAGCTTCCGAGAGTTCGAGGCACAAAGCTTAAATCTCTCCAGAGATATGCGGGTCCATTGTATCTATCCAACTAGGAGTTTGTTGGATAATTCCAAGGTTCTGCTAAAGTGCATCAACGCCAAGACTTTCAATTCTTCAAGTTCTTCTCGTCTCCTTAAAAGATGGGCCGAAATTCGCCACAAGAACATCATGCGAGTGTTGGTTTTGTTCAGGGAACGAGAAACTATAGGGGTCGTCCTAGAGCCATTTTCACCGAGTCTCTACGATCTGGTCCACAAATATCGCAGGGCTGGGGTAAAATTTTCCGAGGAACTTTTGTGGAAGATGCTGCATCAAATCTGTGATGCCTTGTGGTATTTACAAAGATGTCAGATTGTGCACACGGAGATTCAAAGCAAGACGTTGTCTCTTTCGAAATCAGGAGATATTTTGCTTCACAATCTCCTTATTTACACTCCTAGTGAGACAGAGCTTAATGTATGCGTTGATGGTAAATATTCTTTTCACGGGATCTATGTTGCTCCGGAGAAAATTCGAGGAGAGAGATATTCGAGCAAACAAGACGCTTGGGCGCTGGGATGCGTTGCTTTCGAAATGGTTTTCTTGGAACCAGCGTTTCCGCTGCGACCGGGTGGAAATATTTTTGAAACTTTGAATAACATCGTTCATGGGGTTTCACCTACAACACTCGATGAAGCAGATAAAAACAGATCCGACACAGGGGATTTAATTCGTTCTTGTTTGATGCCCGATCCATGGTTGAGGCCATCGATCGAAGATCTATTTCATTTTACAAGAGAGCGAATGCGACAAACACGACCAAATTAGACCAATATTTTAAACACAAAAAAAATTCCTTCGCGCTTGACTAGCTACGCAGTTTTACATGTAAATGAAGCTGTTTTAGCTCTGTATCAGCAGTTATGCTGATTTCTCTTTTTTTCTAAATGACAGAAGAACGCATAATTTTTTTAACCACAAATGCGGGCAGTGGTTGAGAAACCACAGGTGCGGTTTACAGGTGACACAACAAACGTCACGTCCCACAACATCCTTAGTCCACCGTCGTGACCTTCAGAGTCACGGTTGAACTAAGTTTAGAATTTACTTAGTTAAGGCGGAGTAGGCACAGTGCTTGCCCAAAGAAGATTAACCATACCAGCTTAGGCTCACATGTGATGCTTCTTGGCCACAGAGGTTCCTAAATTTGAAAGAAAATTTTTTGCGACGTGTTTCAACACTGCTAGTAGTTGAAGAAAATTAAAAGGGTTTTCTGAAACATTCTCCTAAATCAAAATTTTCCAGAGAATCTATGAAATAGAGATTTTTAAATTTTAAACATTAAGGAAATTAACTAGTTTTGTAAATCAGTAGATTAATAGTGGATGAAAAGACTACTGTTTTTATTTAGTACCTATGGTTTGAGTTGTATCCAAAAAAGGTGTTAATCTTCACGCTGGCGTGATTCATTGCAGAAGGAGCAAAAAACAAATTTTTGTATTTTTTCGCTTAGTCCCCTCAGATTTCTAAAATTTGTACCCAGAAATAATAGGAAGTTGTAAAAATTTGCAAATAATGTTGTATAAATATTTTGTGAATAGCCGTTAATATAATATACGAATTTCGTGCACGCAACGTTAAATGAACATTTACGCTCAGCTTTAAATTTCCCTTTTAATTAACCTTGTGAAGAGGATAAAAGAATCTTAAAGCTCAGAAGTAAACAGTTCGCCATATCCTTACAACTTTTGCGAGTCTAAGGTCTGTAAGGGCCAGTTCTTTCAATACAGTTAAAGCGTTGTTTAGCTAAATTGAGTTCTAAACCATTATTTATAATGCAAAAAGTTTTACCTTGAAATAAAGAGATATATTTTTTTGATAAACGGCGTCTAGTGAGCTTAAAGTTAGCACTGGAAACATTTTTCTACTTCAAATACCCCTTTATTATTATTACATCTCGAGGTCTACTGATGTACAAAAGCACGGCCTAATTAACACCTCGTTTGAATGATCAGCCTCAAAGTTCATATATGTTTTTTGTGGTTTACGTGCCCTTTAATTCAAATCCTTTTAAAAAATCATATTAGTACGATTAAATTCAGTTTTGTACATTATCTCTTGCTAGTCTTGCTACGCGTAGCATTTATGAATTTCCAGTAGTTTTTATAACGCTAGATGCAGTCATGAAAAATTTTATACAACGCCATTTTGTCAATAAAATGTCACCTTTCCAGCTATTTGTTGCGGTAAGCTTGTCTTCGTCCAGAATAATGATTCCATTCTGCGTCTGGCAAATTTCAATCTGTCTCCATGGTATAAGACCGATTCATTTATGAAACATTTCCACCTTGATCAGTAAGACAGACCTTTCATACGTCTCCGGGCAAAAGTTGTTGTGCGTATTTTGTCATGAAGGCAGTACCATAGCAGGCCTGCCTCAGGCTATGCACCCCTGTTCTCCTATAATTCTTTATTCAGAATCTCTCCGCTGCTCTACTTGCTACCGATCTCATGTTGCCGTAGACTTTTGAAGGTGGACTCCCTGGAGAAGATACAACAGAGCAATTTAACCCCTTAACTCCAAGAAGTTATAAAAATGTAACTTCTCCCTAGAATATCCTTACATCCAGCAGACAGGTAATAAGAATCCTCAAACTTATCAGGTAGAAGTTGTTCCCTTGATCTAACACCAAATCCTCGTAACTTTTTTTAACCACGAAATGTGTGGCGGCTAAAGGGCGAATTAGGGCCTGTTTACATGGAGGTGGGGGACCCCAGGTAGGTGGGGTAACCCGCCTGTCCATATATTATTATTTCTTATTTTATTTTGATCACGTTTACATGATAGGTGGGGTGACCCGCCCAGGCCTAACCCTGTCAGCCGGGGTGACAATTTGCCATGTAAACGTGTCAAGGTGGGGAAACCCGCCTAGCCGGGGTCGTGTTCATGGCAAAAAGCTCAATAGCGAAACATGTATGTTTCAAAACTTTGTACATTTCCTAGCCGTCTCAAGGCAGAAATCACCAGAAACCGCAACGGACACACAAGGAGTGTAAAATGTTCACATTTCGGAATATTTAGCATTGTAAATCGACCATATTTGGTTTCCCAAACTATTCCGCATAACGTATTAAGTCAACGGTTCCTCGCGAACCCAAACACCGCGTAACACAACGCGTGACGCTTTCATGATAAAATATATATGTGTCCGAGAATTAATCTTTCGTCTTTTTCGAGATGTGAGCTTGGGATGCTTCTGCTCAAACTCCTTAATTGCAAGCGCAACAACAACCTCAAGAAACCTCACCCCAGCACCCCGAGGCTGTAAGATTGCATGTAAACGCGGTTTATTTTTCGACCACGGCTAGGCGGGTTACCTCACCTACCTGGGGTCCCCCACCTCCATGTAAACAGGCCCTTAGCAATCAGATCTTGGAAATTAAGAGGTTTAATGTAAAAAATAAAAGGTCAGTTACAATGATTTTTCTTCACTCCAGTTTAGAGACTGCTGGAGCAGTCGTGGCTTGTTTTCTCGCGTTCTCCCGCGCTTCCAGTAGTTTGCTAACTTTTGTGTAGAGTTTTCATTGTCTCCCTGTCATATTCTTCCTTCTTTTTGATTAGCCATCGTAATTACAGTAGTTTTGGTTATAAGAGTCAATCGGAAACGCGACTTAATATTCAGGGTCTAATTGTTGCGTAAATATGGAAATAAAAAAGAAACTGTGATCAACAGGGGTGATCAAAACTTACCTAAAATCAAACTGCATATAGCTGTCCGGGCAATTTTGATGTTCTGAAACGATCCTAATATGTGGATTTTTCTGAAAAAGGAAAACATTCATTTATCAATCTGCTTCGTTATTTCTCATGTACTGAAACGATCCTAATATGTGGATTTTTCTGAAAAAGGAAAACATTAATTTATTAATCTGCTTCGTTATTTCTCATTTTTATGAACACAATTTAGGTCATTACCTGAAACCAAACACGGGTTGCCAAAAAAATTGGTAACTTTGGCAGCAAGTTAAGTTGCAAAAATATTTTCCAGTCATCATGGTAACAAAAATAGTTACAATTTGAAGCACAGGATGGACTCCTGTATTTATGGACCACAAGACTTGTAATGTTGTAACACTCGACCCTGATGAGACTAAGTCTAATGAGGCCTAATTAATGACAAAAAGACTTACGAGTCAGCCAAGATGATTCTGGTCTTAGATACATTTTCTATGGTGAACTTTGTCCTGCCTCCTTTTCCCGCGATGCGCCCAATGGCTCTCGAAAGATGATCTCCCTTTAGTGGCTTCACTATGAACAGTAAAAAGACACAGGTTAAAATAACATGGGGTTCATGAAGTTAACATTTATACATTGCAGTTTCCCTCTTGACCCTTTACTTCCCATGAGTGACCAAGATAGAATTTCTCCTTACAATATCATTACAACATCAAGCAGACAAGTGATGAGAATAAAGAAAAATATCAATTAGATTATAAGTTGATCCAGTCCCAAATTCTCCAAACTAACATCACAAGAACTGTATAGCAGACAGTAAGGAGAATTACTGATGAGATCTTGAAAGTTAAAGGGTTAAATGTAAGAGTGACCCACTTGACCAGCTTCCCTGCACTAAATCCTTGTTCATTCTTCAGCAAAGGATTCCATCAAAAGACCCAAGAAAACTCAATTAAATCTGGTCTGTTTCCCATCTGTTCTCTGCTTCCTTCATAATCATAATTACCATAGACCAATAAAAACAATCCTAAGTGATCCTACATACCATCAGCTATCTCAAATGTCTCCAGAAACAGGTCATCTAACCTGACCAATGCCAAGGCATCCTGCAAGTAGTATTCAGATGAAGATTTCAGTTGGGGAAAGACTAGCTAATGGTAAGAGGGATAGATGTACCAAGCCTTGAGCAGTGGGGGGAGATACCCTTTGCCAGCAACCAACGCTGAGGTGAAATGTTCTTCTAGTATATACTACAACAATTTAAGAATTTGTTCATGCTTAGCATGCATATATTGAGTTATGGATGCTCGCGGGAAGTTTGGAGAGCACGAAAAATACATAAGAGTAGCTCAAGGCCCAGCCGAGAGCAACTCTAACTTTTTGAGTGCTCTCCAAACTTCCCAAGTGCATTCATAACTCGATATACACACAGCTAAAAGCATGAACAAATTCTTTTATAACAGAGCAACAATGAACAAAAAATGCTCATGTCATCTTATTTAAGATTTTGTTCATAGTGGCTCAATAGGACTTACATTGGGCAAGCGCGCATGCTATGTTATAAAAGATAATATGGCACAAAAAGATGATTTTCAATCATTTATCCCTATAACGATTACCATATAACTGACACTGAGGTGAAAAGTTCTTTTAGTATCTACTAAAACAATGAGATAATATGGCACAAGATATTATTTTGAATCATTTATCCTTGTAATGCTATCCACATTTTCAGAAACAAAACTTGCAAGTTACTCCAAGGTGAATAGCACAGTATATTCAGAGTTTGGGTAGCTAAACAGAGAGCACCCACAACACTATCCACTGTTGTAGTATATACTTTTTGCATATGCTGTTTGTTAACCCTTTAACTCCCATGAGTGACCAAGACATAATTTCTCCTTACAATATCAATACAATATCAACCAGACAAGAGAAATGAATCAAGAAAAATATCAATCTGAGAATAATAAGTTGATCCAATATTGAGTTCTCTAAACTAATATTAAAAGAATTGTATGATTGACAGTAAGGAGAATTACAAATTTGATCTGGGAGTTAAGGGGTTAATATGGCGTAGCTTTCAGGAAGAACCCCCAAAATGTATGGACTTGAGTTGGTAGATCTATTACCTGTACTCAGATCTTGGGAATCTTGAGGGAGTGAAGATATTGCAGTGAGTGCAGACATCTCTACTTTCACCCTACTATTATAGTGTTAGAGATAGAGTTTAATTCCTTTCCCAAGTGGTTCTCAGGATGCGTTATTGCTGTCACAGAGTCTCCAGAAAATCTGAGCCCACTGTCAAGAAGACCAGCTGGGCATCAGAAATGATGACAGACTCTCACAATTAGCATGGCAGAAGTCATCATCAAACCACCAGTAATCAATAGCCATATTCTCCATAAAACAGTGCTAACATTTTGTCCCAATGGTCACGAAAATAATGACGTTCCGGACAAACGATGAGAAAATGAACTCACCTCAACTTCAAATCCAAGTAGAAAAGCTTGAACGAAATCTGCTGCTTTCTGAATGGCACCGATATCCTGAGTGTCTTTTGAAGTCTACAACATGAGATACCACATTTAGATCACTCTTCATTCGACCTGGACGATTCAGGACGGTATAGTACTTCATTGAGTAGAATACCGTTCTCACAAAGCAAAGAAGTACTCATCAGAAATCAGCGACAAAACTTCTAATAAAAGTACGTTTGTAAGATATGTTATAAAAAGTAACAATCTTACCCTTATTTCTACTTTTCTTGCACTCAAATTAAAGCGAATCTGGAGCTTCAACTGCTCGACAATCGGGGTGAAAATTTTCATCCAGCTTTCTTTCAAAGGTGTATATCTGTGTGGGGGAACAGGTATTTTACACATACGCACCTTTGGCAACTTGTGAGGACTGTGTTTACACACACCGCTTGCGGGGATTTTGGGCCCCCCCCTTCTGCTGGCAGTATCAAAATAAAAACTACGATGTTTGATAGCTTGTTTGCCTTACTCTTTATACACTTGATTAGAATTGAGGAAATTTCAATTTTTCTTGTGGGGACTTCCTTATGGGGACCTGTCCATTACTCAACTTTGCCTACTTGTGGGTACTACTTTTAATATAAGACTTGTGAGGACATACTTACCTAACTTGTGGGGTCTCTGTTTCCACACCCCTCTTATGAGGACCACCTCTCCTTTTGCTGGAGAAGGCGAAGAAGTTTTGCTGAAGGCCTGGTACTTTCCTGCAGCGGAAGAAAACCCTCGTGATTAAATACTAATAATGAAGGCCCGTTAGCGTAATCGCCTTTGCAGTCGTTGTTTGGTCTTGCAATGGGAGAGAGACTGCACTGCGTGGCGAGACTAAACAACGGCTGCGACGGAGACTACCGCAAGGTTGACACCAATGCAGTTTAGTGTTGCTTAAAACTATTCAGACACCAGTGACAATAGACCAGAAAAACACCTGTGTCTTAATTCATTTCAGATAAATTTGATGGGTCTTTTTTGCTCTCCATTGAAAGAAATTTTTGTCGGAATCTTTTGAAGTTAATACTTTTTCTCTTTTTACAAAAATGAAAACGTCAGTCACTTAGTGTCCCACCTGAGCTTATCCATCCAAAGAAATAACTTTTGCATGCATAGCATGCCTACAATGAAGGATGACTGCGACTTAAGGAAGCCCAACTGAAAAAATCTCAAAAGTGACCCTTCAATTTGGGATAAAATACTCTTTGCAGGAAAGACCTAATCTTTATCTTTCAAATTCGAAACTCAAACCTGCGGGTATCTTTCTGTGAAGAAGGCAAGAGACAGTTGATATAACTCGAATCCTGTAATGTTTACAACAAAAGTCCAACGGTCACGCTTTAAATAACACCAACTCGACAGTAATAATTTTAGGAAAAGGGCACAAAAATATTTATTGTAAAAGCTTTCTGAATTCGGCTTCTTTGATTAAGAGATGGCTTTTCAGTTTGGTGTATGAAAAACCCATGATATTGGCCAACTGGAGGAAAGGCAATACTTGACAAATACAAGTTGAGCACTACAATGGGTTCCATTTTGGTAACACACCCTTTTTTTTAACGTCTAATTTGGGGGCTGAGGTTGAACGTTCTTTTTTATGCAATTTGAGTCTGAAAACTTTCTTAAGATGTTCTGAAAGTTTTATTATTACGGACTAAATTCGACCACAATCTGAGTTGTTCTTCAGTTTATCGTACAACAGTAAAAACCGCATTCTTAAGTATTTGAGTTTATTGTCCTGTTTGACCACAGTTTAACATTTCTTTTGCCTTTATTTATTCTTCTCATTAAAAAAAAGATAAAAAAGATGAGCAAAATGAAAAAGTTCTCAACTGACTCTCAGCCTGGGTATGTTCTAAGAATGTTTTAAAAATTTGGGCTAATCTCAGCCTAAACGTTCCTATTAAAAAAGGTTCTTATGAAAGAAAAAAAAGGATCTAGTACTTGGAACTTAATTAATATTGGCTTCCATCCTACACGTAGCATATATATAGGCCAGACTGGTAAGCCCTCCTCATAATCTTGGAACTTCAGGTGGCTTTTCACAAAAAAAGAAGGCAAGAGAAGTTTGAAGTTAATGGAACTGTAACACTTTAATATAATTTTAAGCAGCGATGTCTATTTAACTGTCACAGGAGAGTTATCAACCAAAGCCACTCACTAGTGAGTAGAGCAGATATTCTGCATCCCATGTTGCAGACATCTTTTTAGTGAGATTGGCCATAAAATTGTATGCTAATGGGCTACTAAAATTTAACTTAAGACGTAGTTTGTTTGCACAACCCTCTGATGTTGGTTTCACAATGCTTGATCAATAACAGTTCAATTCAACCACTTTAGTTATAAATTTTTTTGTTAAAATCATTATGCAAAACTCTCTCATTGGTTTTGCTTACACTCCAGAAATGAAGCACTCTTAGTTAGTGTATACTAAAATCCACCTCTGGAATTATCGATGATCAAGTGTAAGAGACTTAAAAACGGTAAAAATTCTGGATATAACCCTGAGCTCATAATTTCATAGGAGCTTTTTGTTGGAAAGAAGATATTGACCAATTAAAAACTAGTTAGGCCTACAAATGGATGGCAAATTGCTTCTAATATTTTGCAAAATACATATAACAATACTGCATTGTATATATTTATAACTTAACAAGGCCGGATCAGTGGTTACAAGCTACAATGCAATACTGGCTGAAACTACAACCTTTAACCAAACAGTAATGATATGGATAAAAAAAAAATTCTGTTTAGTCATATTAAGAATATTGGCGGGTATATAAGGTCTACAGAGCTTACTATCAGGATGTATAAATTTGAGAATTTGGTAGCTTATATTGAGGTTGGGTACTTTAATATAGGCTTATATCCAAATGTTCAGGGTGTATTTTTTATAACAGTATAACCCAAACATTTGCAGGAGCCTTAGATCCTGGCGGATTATACAATTCACTAAAACTGTAAGCGCAGGAGTATTTATAAGAAGTCTTGGTAGGGCTCACCTTCGGTAACAGTGATTACGTGATGAGAATCTACAGAAACTTTTTAAAATGATTGATAAAATAAAGGGAAGCTCTATTACTTTTGAAGAAAATTGAGGCAAATGGAACATACTATTTGCCTTTGAATCAGGAGACCCACACAAACTTTGACTATTAGTAATATTTTTAAATATTGGGAAATGCAAAGCAAAACACCCCTTAACTATCATAATATTAGCAATTATGTCCAACATCATAACGAATATACTAATTATCTCAGTTGTATTTTGTTGTCCTTGCAGCTCTTGGGGTGAAATTTTAGCAAGGTAACAGGGTAGTCATTAAGGGCAGGGGACCAGGGAGTTTCCTTAGCGAATATGAAGTTGACCACTGGCCACTTTCATAGAGGATAGAATAAAAATAGAACCAAAAAGGAAATCCCTAGCTGCTTAATTTCCTGCCTTCTTTCTGTAGTTACCCAGAAACTTGAGATCTTTGTGATAGCCCTGAGATTGGAAGAGTTTGGCAAAACAGTAGGTTACCTTGCACAGGATTAGTTATACTTTGAGATAACAAAAACAGAACGATTCTATTAGTTATACTTAGGGGCAAGAACCTGCTCTCTCTTGTCAATCTGATTTTTCAAAAAGTATTAAACAGCATGCCGGTCCTTAAGTTGTTTGTATTTTAAAAGCAAGTGTTGCACTAAATGCACCATTTGCTTTTAAAATACAATTCTAAAAGTTTAGTTTTCTCAATAACGTCATTGTTTGACAAAGTTAAATATGTGATGCCAAACCCTTTCAATTGGTTATATCTTAATACTCCAATCAAGAGCTAAATAGAGCACTCTTAGTTTGTGTAATACTGAAATCTACCTCCATAATTATCAATGACTGAATTTGAGAAAGTTGAAATAATGTAAAAATTCTGGACACAACCCTAAAATCCTATTTTTAAGGAAGCTTATTTTTAAATTTTGTCCAATTATAAAATTTTGAGTTGGAATTACAAGTGGATAACATATTGATTCTAAGACTTTTAAAAGTTTTGATGTCAATACTACAGTGTATATCATTTTACACTTGACAAAGCCAATTTAATGGAGGATTGGTGGCTTACACTGTGGGGGGGGGGGGGTATTTTGGGATTGGCCTATATCCAAAAATTTATGGTAGAATTTAACATATTCTATTTGTCGTGGAATCACAGGGTACCCACGCAAACTGTGACGGTAAGTTTTTTTAACAAATATTGGAGATGTTTGGAAACAGCAAAATATCCCTTAATTATCATGAATTACTGTTTTTTGTTGTCCTTGCAGCTATTGAGGTTGAATTTTAGCAAGGTATTAAGGGTTGTCATTAAGGGTGGGGAAAGATCAGTTCACTTAGCCATTTTAAGCGGCAAGAACCCTCTTTCTCCAATGTCAATCTGATTCTTAACAAAATATTTAACAGCATGCCAGTCCCTACCATCTAATGCACCATTTACTTTTAAAATACAGTTCTTACAGTCCAATTTTCCCGGAAAGCGTCTTTCTCTGACAAATGAACTAGGGTGCTTAAAAACTGCCTCCTTCTCTTCTTCTGTACATAGAACATGGGCATCTTACTCTGTAAAGAAAATCAAAATAAGCATAACAAGTAAGCTTTCAGCTAAAACTGACTCCTCTTATAATTATAACATTTTCTCTACTTACTCTTTGACTTTGACATTCCCCGGTCCACATTTTCCATGTCCATGTGACTGCTGCGTTTTTCGGGGGGGGGGGGGGGGGGGGGAGGGGGAGGGTTGATTTCTTTGCAAGTAGTCCCCGTAAGTAACTGTGTATTAGCATGTCGCCACAAGAATGGAAAGTAGTCCCCATAAGTAGTTGCGTGTTAGCATGTCACCATAAGTACGGCAAGTAGTCCCCATTAGTAGCTATGTAGAGCTTTTCCCTTTAAAGTGCCTATGACACGAAATTTTGAAATTTTTTATTTTGCATTTTCTGGTTGATAGCTGTATTTAAAATTAGAGATCATTAACCATAGCGCTTAGCGAGTTCTCCTTGATCAATTTTTTTGTGCATTGAAAGTACGATTTGGCGGCCAAAAAGTGTCGCCACTAAGCGAGCGGCCAAAATCATGTTATATAGCTGTGACGTAGAAAACTGTGAAGACGCGTAAGCAATTATGGTGGAGAAAGGAGAAATATCATAGAGAGGACGAACATAGTGCGTGGCTGGAGCGCCAAATGATGTTCGCTACAAGAATAATACACATAAACCGGGCATTTATATACACTACTTTCCAAATGATGTAGCTGTATGGCCAAAATGGACGCTTTCGATCGTCGACATCGAGGAGATTCTACTCTTTAATGTCGTCGGCCTTATTCTCCGTACCGGCTTCGAAGACGCCTGTTGCGAACACATACCACAAATCAGGGTAAGATAACCGATGAATTCAGCTAAAACGAATGCTGATTAAGGGCCCTGTTTCCACACTATACACGATTGTTCAACATTCTTTCCGGCTGACATTTCGCAAATGAAAAATGGTGAGCTCCTTCTTGATGTTTATTTCACGCGCTTGAGATGTACTCACACTTTTTGTCTTTCCACATGACTACGTTTGCGCTTTTCTTATCGTATGAATATCATACCAATTGTAGTTTCCATCGTATTTTGATAAAAGATTTACATCAATTGTAATGAAGTTCAAGCCCTTTCCTGAGCTGACCGATATCCTGTTGCGTGAACAGTGCGCAACCTCTGACGGATACTGGCATAAAAACAAGCTTAAAGGGGCCGTGTATTCTCCTAACCTAGGTTTCCGAAAATCCATCTCACGAGCTATCAATTCCCCCCTACCCTCAAGAAACCAAAAGTAGCAATATTAGCAATTTCATTGGGATAACAGCACCGCAACGATATAAATAAGGAAACACAAATTTTATTGAATTAGATGGTAACGAATTCAAGTGCCGTATGAAAGTCGATGCGTACGAAATATTCATTAATAATACTGATGTCAGTTATTTCCTTTGTGCGGAATGGGTCATATGGCAATGCTGCACTTAAACTAAATAAGGTTTTTTTCTATTAAAATGCCTATATGAGATTAACTTGAATCAGATGACTATAAACTCACTCGTTTTCCTTTCGGTTTGACCGGCTCGACGACCGTGACCATGGCCTCTGCCTTTGCAATCTATGGGAGAAGGAGCAACTTGCAGTAGAACTGCTCGATTACTCCTCGGTGGAAAATCATCGTGCCTCGTGATACAACTGATTCTTTCTTCAAAAGTTAGCTTTTGGTTTACCAAGGGAATTTCTCTACAGCAACGAAACACTAGAGCACTGACCGAGAGGAACCTAATAATATTGGTCATGAAACGGATGTAAAACAGTCGTTGCCGCATTTAAAAAATTTGCCTCTGCTTCACGCCCGTGACAAAAAGAATGACATGTTTCTTTATACATGGAGATCATATTATTGATTTCTTTTCACAGCATGGATTGGCGCCATGGCCATGGGTTCTAATTTTTTTTTTGGTCTTATATCAAGTGCATTGTGTGATCGTCTTGGATGCCGTGTTGTGTCCTTTGCTGGTGCGTTACTATCCGTCCCAGGGTTGTTCCTAACCTCCTTCATACAAGAAGCTCATAAAATGTATGTGACCTACGGACTTGTATGGGGAGTGGGTTCTAGTTTCTCCTATGTGTCGTCTATCGTTGTCCTGGGTGAATACTTTAATAGAAGGCGCTTGCCAATGGGATTGCATCATGTGGAGGTGGCGTAGGCTCTCTTGTTACCGGGCCGGTCATAAATTACCTACTGGCATCTGTCGGATGGAAACACTCACTAACAATGTTATTGCAACAGAAACGAACAGAGCTATCCACAAAACACAAGCGCAGCAAACTAGACATTCAGTAACGGGAATTTTTGTTCTAATCTTGACCTAAACAATGCAAGCGGGAAACCGCCTTTGTCAGTCTTCGTAGAAATCTTCGTTTGATGCAGCGCGGTTCTCCTTCTTAGGGCTGAACCGTACTCGCAACTTTCATTTCTTCTTTATAACTTGAGTACGATGTATTACAACTCTCGGTAGAGCTTACTTAAGGTAGGTAGACATCGCTATCGGTCGTTATTTCAAAATTATTTCAGCGCTGACTTATACAAAATTGCAAGAGATGTGAAAGGTATTTTGGTGTCGACTGAGAGTTTTCACAGTTTTCTACGTCATCAGCCGCTAATTCGTTACCAGTCCACGGGACACTTTTAAGACAAAAGCACTTTAGGGCCCGAAAAAACCGAGTTTTAAGTCTGGGACTATTCTTCAATCGGAATTGGTTTGTACATATGATAAGCTAAATATTTACGCAAAAAAATTCGTGTCATAAGCTCTTTAAGAATGGCAAGTAATTCCCATAACTAGTTGTTTTAGGATGTCCCCATAAGTATGGCTGGTAGTCCCCATAAGTAATTGTTTTAGCATGCATATCCCCTTATGCACGGGAATCTACGAACGCGTGGCCGCCACTTTGAAAAAGTGACCGATGTACCCTGGGACGAGGTTGGCAGCTAAGCATGAAACGGTCTAGGATCGCTTCCTAGTGTAGTTCAACTTGGTAAGTGACCGATCTTTCCTCTCTCTTTTTTAACATAGTTAGCACCTTAAACGTGTTTGTGAAGAACAAAAAAATGTGTAGTTTATGGCTCTCAAGAACAATATAGACAGAAGAACAAGAGAAATTAGTTATGAAATTGAAACCACCTACAATCTTGTACTCACCATTTCAGTCATTTTCCGCCAGTGTTTTCCTTGTGAACTTTCTTGTTTCACCTTGACCGACTGTAAGAAGAAGCTTGCTCACTTTGGAAATTTCAACTGCAGATTCGTGAAGACAGTAGAAGTCTCCATGCACTTGGATTTCATGACCAAGGTGTCTTGCTTAGTCGGTCTACCTCTGTTCCTTTGAGAGAGACTACTTGGGAAATGGTTGCCATATACTTTCTGAGTTTGGTACTGGCTATCTCTGTAAGGTTTGACAGAGGTGGGCCGCCTTCCATAGCAAATTTGACTGTCTGTTTGACCTAGCAACTATTAAATGGATTTTCATCTGGAATACCCACGGCTTTCCTTGTCTTGTTGAGGAGGTCGATGCTGTTTTTCACCTCAGGTGTCAAAATTACTGTTACCGTCCTGCCCCACTTACTACGAATCTCAACTATGTCTGATCTGTTTTAAAAATATGATAATTAAAACATAAATTACGTTTACTCAAACAATATTTTACAAACTCAAATTATAGAAATTCCCCCCAAGGTATTAAAATATAAAAAATGAAACAGAAATATTTTCTTTTTAATGGCCCAAAAAGGCATTGTTAGCATCAGAAAAACACGTCATTATGCTGAACTTTTTGAAGACTTCATAAAATGTTCTCACTGTCTTTGCTGTAATTGTGATATCATGACATCAAGATGTGCAATGTGTTACCCAGTCAGGGTTGATGAAAATACCAAGGAGAAGGGGGCAAGGCTAAAAAGAATGACTTTCCGGATTTAATTTAGAAATTAGAAAGCTAAAATAGGCAAAAAAAATAAAGAACCAAAAAAAAAGGAAAAACCGAAAAAGTATCGATGCAACAGCATGAGACTCTTTAATATTATAGTACATTTTTGCAATCATAATATTATCATTCCACAGATTTAGCCACCAGTTAGATCTACCCTTCCTGGTTTCATTGTTGTTGTCAGGCAATGTTTTTGGTCAGTCAGTTTGAGTGTCTTAAAGAAGCTCAATTCCAGAATTTTCTTGACATTTTCCTTGATAACTGGAGACTTTGTTGAAGTTAGAGATAAAAATACGACTTAAATAAGATTTGGACTAAGATAGGGCAAGCATGCTATGTTATAAGCATGTTTAAAAGTATTATTATCATAATAATCATTATTACCTGACACAGAATGAAGGACTTTTTCAGGTGCATTGCTCTGTGATGCATTATTCCACCGTTGTAAGAAGAAGGAACTGGAGATGTAGATTTCTTTCCCCTTTGAATTCAAGAGGAAAAATAGTGAGTTATGCTGAAAGTCTTGTTTATGGCAAGACTGGAACAAATAAAAAAAAAAGCTTAATTACTATAATTTGAAACTTCTAAGTTAGGAAAGCATTATAAATATATATGCCCCAGTGGGAAAAAAAAGAAGTTGATGAGAGATTCCTGGGCCCAGTTGTTCAAAGGCCAATAAGCATTAACCCAGGGTCAAATTTTTATCCAAGCTTCTTTATTCCTTCTTTCAAAAGCCTTTTTTGGATAATCTTCTCTTTTCTTTTCATAGCATCCAATTTTTAAATTGGAGACAAAAAGAATTGTATTGAATTTTCATTTAAAGCTTTCAGATCTGGAACCAGATTTCACACTAAGCCTGGATTATCTAAACCTAGCTTTGAACAACTCAACCCGAAAAAGGATTTGGAAACCCCCCCCCCCCCCCTTACAGAAATTCTTTGCAATAAGGGAGCATGATCAGTTCAGTATACAAAAGTGTAAGTAAGTGAGAGTAGAACATGACCTGTCTGTGGAAATTTGACTGAAGCAGTTATACAAAATGGGCAACGTTGGTTGAGCAAGGACAACTACTGTGGAACTGAATGGCCAGATTAAGAGATGATCATATTGTTCAAGATACGGGCCAGACAAAAATCACTCCAAATTAAAACAATCCAACCAGTCAATAAAATAAATCTGAGTAGTTTAGGATTGATCACTAATTGTGTTATTGTACTAGTTAGATGTTTCTTTCCAGTTTGTATCTCCCTTACAATGCCATTTCGTAAAATGATTACTCTCTGATAGACCTGTGTGGCAAGTGGTCGCTTATTTCAGCATAACAAGTTCCTTTTCCTTCAAAATATGTCAGGTAATTGCTTTATATGTGGCTATCAATATAAATTTAGTGACTACCTTTAAATTAAGCCAAATTGAAAGGCAGAGATTCTAATTATTCGATTGCTTTGTAATTCGCTTCATCGTTTACCCAGCATTCCTTATCACACAACCCAAGTTTCCACTCGTGACATTGCTGCAAGGAGTCTGCAGATATTTAGTTATTCTGATTCATGGAGGAAACATCCTTAGTTGTTATGATATTTATCTGGAATTGTTCATCAACATCAGCCATGTTGTTGCTCTCGTTCATATTTTGTTCTTTGTTGCGTTGCACCTTACTCTCAACTTTGCCATCTTTTACTGGCATCTTACCTTCATTAACTACATGGTTAAGAAAAAGGAATGTAACAGTTTTTTTTCTTGTTTTGAATATATGATAATCATTATTTCTTAGTAGAGCCAAACTTCATTTAATAACTTCAACTCTTCTATGTCAAAACCACCATCTTTTGACGCATTAGTTCCTGGGAGTTTTGTCTGAGAATGTCTTTCGAAGCTATTCAAACCGTTTCTTTTAGTCACTTTGAGGGTCTGAAGAGCGAAAACTGTCCAAAACACCATTTATAGATACTGTTCTTTCAGATGCAAATCATAAGCTTCCGCAGTTTGGTTATGCACAAAAAGCAGTCTTACACCTTTTGTTTTTCCTCCTCCCCTTTTCTTGCACTTTTCTTACACCACTGTTTTACTTTTAGCCGTGGTAGTAATAGTTCATTGTTTTTATGATTTTTAAGGCTTTTGTTTGGTTGCAACTTACCTTTGACGTTGGAAGAGAATGTATAATGATATTTATGAAGACATTTGAAATGGCAAAAGCCACTTGCAAAAAACTCAGTGGGGATTTAATATTGGAAAACTACTTCTGTAACAGCAAAAAATATCTTTCATTTTCCAAAGAGCCCTAAGAACTGATGGGCTCAGAGTGTAAGGGACATCTGCAGTTTATATAATAGAGGGTGTGTGTATGTACATACCAGTTTCCAAGGAGTCTGCAAATAGACAGTCATTGATCTGATTCAGGGAGTAAATCTCTTCAGAATTTGTTGTTACATCCATGTGGAAACTTTCATCATTGTCAGGACTGCTGTTGCCCTTGTTCATATTTTCTTCTTTTTTGTGTTGCACCTTACTGTCCCATTCTTTAGTCCATCTGCCTTGCTCTCATTACCTAAGTGGTTAAGAAAAAGAAATGTGTAGAGTTTTGCTAATTTGTGTGAAACCAGGAATGAATAATTGGAGCCATCATCATAATCATTGTCGTCATCATTTGAAGTATTATTAAAAAAATAATTTTTAGATTGTTTTGACCAAGGACGGTATGAGTTGTCATGATATCTAGACAGATTGTATGGTATTTGCAATATTCAT